ACTTTCCTAAGTTGAAATATGCAAGATACAAGATCAGTTTAATCGCAACAACGAGACAACATTGTCCAAATCTGTCTCTGCAGGCACACAACAGGAGGAACACGGGGAACACCTTTGATTTGACTATTAACATTTTAAATGGTGAAGGCACTAGCAATTGGGGGATGGAGGGCTCTCAGGACATGATAGGGAGGCGTGTGGCGCAGTGGTTAAGTGCATTGGTGTTCGGATCAGGGGAGCACAGGTTCAAACCCCACTGCAGTCAGCATGTCGTTGTGTCCCTGAGACACTTCACCCCAAAGTGCTCCTGTGGGGATTCCCCACAGTATTGAGTATGTAAGCTTTGGATAAAAGCGTCTAACAAGTGACATGTAATGATTCAAAAAGCTTTTGAATATTGAATAACAAACCAATGTGGTTTACTTGTTATCCACAGTTTAGCTGCTAAATGTTTTTTAGCAATGCTTTGTGCTCCACATATCTAAATGTATAAAGTGTGTTTTCACCTCCGTTCCCTCCTGTTTGCTGCAGTATGGCAGCAGCGGTCAGGATGGTAGCCTACTGCCTACTCTCAGCGGGGGGGACTGAACGTGGAAACTGTGTTTCTCTGAGGGATCCTCCATGTAGTCTGAGAAGCCTTCTGAGGAAACAAGGTCAAACTATTTAGGATAATACAAGGAACAATGTTTAGGCAGTAAATAGAATTTCAATTACATTTCTACTTAAATGTGCAAAAATATTAGAACATCAGTCTTTGTGGCATGCAGGTAATCAACTGTTTAAGCTTTTACCATTAACATGTAGAATGAATGTTGCAAATTACTTGAAATTATAGCAACTACAATCTATTGTTTACCTCAGTGTAGCCACAGAGGTCCAGCTAGCATGCTAATTGCTAACGTTATATTATCGTTTTATCCCGGAGGGGAAAACTAGTTTCTAATCCTGAGAGAAACACCTCGCCTGAAACACACGATTAGTGCCATGAGTTAGTGAAGCAAATTACAGAACATTGCACACTTATTCACAAGTCAATACGTGTTCATAGCGGGCACGGCTGAGAATAGCTAGCTAGCTAGATGTTGTTAGCCAGCTTGGACCTAACGTTAGCAAGTTCTAGCATGGCTAGCTCGATCTACTGAGCAAATAAAAGTACATCTAAGACCAGTATTGTGCAGATTAAAACAGTGCAGTGCATGTATTTTATTTTACCTTCGTAGTCGTCACGACATGACTTTGCCAGGTCTGCTAACTTTGCTGATCCACTGAAACTGCATGCAGTAGAAGCTTCTGAATGCACTTCGCGTCCTCCGAGTAAATCGCCAGAAGCGCCGAGACATCCTCATCAATTCCACCGCTCCGATGATTTATTTAGTGTTGCTATAATAACTGCTTTCACAAAAGTAATCTCTTCGGGTAAACGAGCAAATACAATGGCCGCTTCCAAAAAAAAAATCAGAGTCAAATGGGCGTGGTTTGCATTCCGCACAGCCAATCAGACGTACGAACTGTTTTCTCCCACGACAGTCCCTGCTCTGTAGCAGGGACTGAAAAGCGGGTCGGACGAACTCATTTGAGCTACTTTAGTTCCTGGGGCTTTTTGGTGTGAACGCAAATATATCGTAGTTCTGATTAACTATTGTGGGAAAAGTACACCAAAGTACTCCGGTGTGAACGCACCTATTGAGATCATAGATCTCTTTTTCAAGGGAGACCTGCAGCATATAGGTTCCACATGAAACATAAAACAATAAAGGACATCATACATTATATTTACAGGATACATTTACATAGTTATAGACATTTACAAGTATCAACGAGCATTTCATTTAGCCTAGCTTTAAAAACATGCAGAGGAATGAGATTGCTCAGTTTCAAGGTAAACCATGTTAGCATTTTTAGCTACCTAGCGCCACATGTTTTGATGTCTGTTTTTGTTTATAAAGTCGCGAGTTCGTATAATTGAGTGATAATGAGGGTACCCTTCGATTCTGTCACCTCACGATGTGAAACGATGTCATGGATGTGCAGAAAAGATAAATAATAAGGTTTTGTGAGTGATTTTCGGTGCAGTAATCTGTTAGCATTTTTCGCTCGTTGCTAATTCAGAGGCTCAGCGTTAGCATTGTGGGTTTTATTTAAAAAAAAATTAAAAAAAAGATCAGTTAGATGAGTTTCTTTCCGTTACATGGATATAAAACATTCATAGTTTATTAAATGAACATGCCCTCATACACTGTTTCCTGCAAGATGTTGCGGGAGTGCCCCGGTACCGGGGTCTCTCGGGCTTAACAGGTTAACTATATTTTGATGCTAATACTTTTCTACTTTTACTTGAGTAACATTTGTAATGCAGGACTTTTACTGTAACATAGTATTCCTACACTCTGGTACTTCTACTTTTACTTAAGTATTAGATTTTAATACTTCTTCTCCCACCTCTGGATATGACTTATGAATGAGATGAATATAAGAGAGCCTCACTACACCATTAGTCCCACGTCACTTTGGTCCTAGCGTCCACTGTGAAGAGTTCCTTCAGGCAGCAGATATTTGGTTGATGAGAACTGACCTCTCTTTGAGGTCCCCTCGTCCCTCCATGCCCAACATTGTCTACAAGTTTCAGTTTGACCCTTCAACGTCTTGAGGACTTTATGGAGAATAGATGTATTATTTCTGAGAGCTTGGGGACCATAGTGGTGTCTTCTCCTCAATGCAAAGGAATATCTTAATGAGCATTGTAATAAGAATCAAAGAAACTTGCAGGTAACCAACGTGATGTCTGACCCTGAAAGATTGTTGGATCTTTCACAAGGAGAAGAGGGAATAAACATTTACGTTATATTCCATCATCAATGCTGAAACACTGCCTCTCTCTTTCCAAATGTAGACAGGGCAAGCAATACACTTCTTTATCTGAAGAGGCAAGACAGCCGTATGATCACTGTCTCTGATTTGAACCTGAAGACTTTCTATCTCCCTGTCATGGCAGAGGACACTGGGCCAGTCTTACTGTAACTCCTCTCAGCTGTGGGCCCACACTTCTTCACGTCTACGTCACGTGACTATGTTTTGGAGAGAAAAATGTGACACAGGGAGATATATGTAAATATAGGCGTACTTAAATGTGTCCTAACATGAAGAGATTAAGATCAAAATGTATAGACTCTAATGTATTATATTTGTATGTTTATAGAGATGAATAAAGGAATTAGATCAACAATTATTTGACACTGAGGAGATAGCAGAGCTTGAGTGGTCACATCAGAAGGTCACCAACACACTTCAAGAGGCCATCTACCAGGGAGTTCCCATCTTCAGCCTTCCTCTGACGTTTGACCAGGAGGGTGACCTGTTCAGGATGAGAGGGGAAAGCCTAATTGGCTCATTAAACAGAGACTACTTCCTGGAGGCGGGGCTTCAAGAGAACGTGCAGGAGCTGACACTGATTTGTATTTGAACAGTAAATGTTTGTGGTGTAAAGTGTTTGGCATGAGGAAAGACAAACTGCACTCATACAGATACTTATGTTGCCCTGTAAGTAGGTTTGTAGCAGCTGAGTTGTTCTCTAACTCCGGTTAACAAAGGAAGGAATGAGATAACAGAAAATGAAAAGATTGTCGCAAAAAGTATTTTTAAAGTGTTCTGTTAATAATTTGTACAACCAGGTTTCATGATAGCAGCTCAAAACAACAGTTGGACTGTGAAGAGCTGAAAGACTCATGTCTAAGATATAATGCAATCTGAAGAATGTGTTTGAGATGATTGGACCACTTTGTGCCTGATGAAGCCACAACGAGAGCCACAGCAGAGATTCATCTCTTACATTCCCTGGACATACAGTATGTCTGTCAAACAGGATGGTGTTTCTGTGAAGGATATGTATTACAATAAAAATGGCTATTGATCAACCTGTGCATGAAACAATAATATTCATGTGAATAAGTGAAAGAAATGACATGTTCAGTGTTCAAAATGATCCAGCTGTTAAACACATCTTGACTTTGTCTTCATCTTGTGGTGTTTACGGGAAGTGAAACGTGACCATGCAATCACATATTATGATGTGGAGCACATTTTGCACATTTGTATATGTTCTCCTTGAAGACTGTAGGTTACACAATGAATACATGTTGTAGTGAAAGTAGTACATCTTGAGTGAAGACTCTCCTACAGAGCAAATCATTCAGACAGTCATGCTCTGTGTGTATAACCCCTCAGTATGTCCTCTTCAATGAGGCTGTTTTATTACACCTTAAATAACACAGCTGATCAACAACTGGATCATTTGGGTTTGAAGTCAATGAAGACAAATGATCAAAGTGAATAAATAATGCATTACTGTTTTTAATGTTGAAGCTACTTTGTATTTGTTATAATGCTGCAGTGGAGTTGGAGAATGTGAATGTGACTCCTGACAGTTTCTAAGAGAGAATCAAAACAACTCCATCAAATCAAACACGTGGCACAGCTCCAGTATGCCATGCTTTACCCCTCACATGTTTTCTGCTGAGTCTCCTTCATCAGGGTGGGAGCTTCTTTGTTTACAGCAGGTTCATCCGTCACATGACTTCACACAAGGAGACAGAGATTTCAGGAGTTTGGCATCTATGAATGTAAAGGTTAAAACAGATGTTTGAAGGGATGCAATGCATTAAAGAAGAGATTACATCATTAAGATATTCAGATTATTTATTCACAGAAACAGAAATCAACCTCAGAGACACATTTCTGAATTAAACTGCTGGTTATTTAATCACAAGATATCTGAAGCAGCATCAAAAATACTACACTTAATTATACAGCTGTTATTCCCTCTAGGTTAATTAGAAATTGATATTTTCAATGACCATAAATGTTATTGTCCATCTTTATAGGACTGAAAATGTCACACAGGCTAACGAAAGAACATTGTAAGAATGAAATCATTAATTAAACTAAATGTATTAAATGACTTGCTCCCTGCAGAAAAACAACATATCTCAAAATAATTCATCCAAAAATATAAAAAAGTTAAACTGATAACTTATCCTGCTATAACATGATGTTTGACTAGAAACTAGATGTTGATAAAAGGAGAACTGACAGCTTTGATTTGTTAGTTTGGTTGATTTCATGACGTTTCAGCACGAAATACAAACTTCTTACATTTCTTCAAGAATTCACACAAAACTTAATCAAACTTTCTCATTTCATCCATTACAAAGAAAAACAGAAAATAAATGCATTCTTTTAAAGATTTTTGGATTCAAAATGTGAACATTCATCAATCATGCCTCAATATATTTTAAAATGATTTTCCGATTTTAATAAAGTGTCAGTGAGTTAAATAAAAACTATAAACACACTGTAATAAAGTATGATACAAAATAAACTATAGCAATAAACAATCAAGTTGCTTTGTTTGTTTTTGTTTTTGACTGACTCTTTGATTATAATGTGTAAAAATGTCATGCAAAGATTAATATCTCATCATCTGTTGATTCTTTTCTTGATTGTTCCAAAGAGATGTAGACGGACAGTGAAGTCAGAATAAAGTATGAACCAACACTCCTGAGCATCACAGAGGAATCTCACTCTGACAGATTTTGATATCAGCAGTTTTAGCATCACCAGCTTTTCCAATATGAAAATATGGGAAGAGTTTCTCAGTGAAAGTGTCTCTGAGAGTGCAGATGGGAGTCATGTGTTCAGGGTCGTAGAAGGACACCTCCCCCCTGTCATAGTCCAGCTGGACTCTGATCCTCTGGAGATTCTTCTCCACTCTGACAGTCTCACCAGCACCATTAGTGTATTTTCCATCGTCATGCCATAAACACCAGATTCCATCTTCTGGTGAGGCAAATCTCACTCCCTTCCTGTCAACTGACTCTTTAGTCAAACCTATAAGCCAGAAAGGATGATCTCCCACCTCCACCTCCCAGCTGTGTTTCCCTGAGCTGAAGCCCTCAGAGCCCAGAACTTCAGCATACTGAGTGCATCTCTCTGGATTATCAGGAAGCTGCTGATCTGTGTCTCCAAATCTCACACTGGTCAGATCATCAGACAGATAGAGCCGGCTGTGTGCAGTGTTTGGGTCCAGAAGGACAGGACTGAAGTGGACCTGGTCCTTCATCTTCTCCCAGACTCTGAAGGACAGGTTGCCCAGGTGTTTGGCCACATCTGTCAGCGCTCCTGAGAGCAGCTGTGGGTCTGACAGTGAGCTCTGGACTCTGGCTCTGCTCTGAGTGGCTTTATAACTGCTGAGGAAGGGCACGTTGTGTTTCTGCAGCTCTTCTTCAACAGCAGAGATACTGTGTGACAGAGAGGAGATGTGCTCCTGAATGCTCTTCATCTCTCTGCTGATAGTCTTCCCTTTCAGCTCCTCTTCCTCCCTCAGAGCTGCCAGTCTGGACTCCTCTTCCTCTTTCAGGAACTGATGGAGCTTGATGAACTCTGCTCTGATCTGCCTCTCTGTGGACAGCAGCTGCTTCTTGGACACTTGAATCACTACATTGTATGTTGTCTCCACTCCTTTGTATGTGTCCCTCTTGTCCTGCAGAGACTCTAAGTCAGATTTCAGCAGGTCCTTCAGCTCACTGACTGCTTGTTCTACAGGAACCACCTTGTGACTCTGATGGAGAGAAAACTCACAGAAAGGACACACAGCTCTCTCTTCATCCATACAGAACAATCTAGGCTCTTCTGGATGTTTACTACACACCACCTCCACCTTCTTCTCTCCTTTTTCTGCCTCAGCCATTTGGTATTAAAGTTATTTCTACAGAGCAGGACTCACCAACTTCTCTTCTTTATTCACTCCAAATAAGTGTTTCCCAGCAGAGATCTCACCTCCTCTGATGGCTACCCAGTTCAACAATCTCTAAATCTTCTTTGGTTCCCTCCTTTATCCAGTCTCTGGTTTCCTCTCACCTCCGTCACAGGATGAATGATCAACAGCAGGAATGCAGTTATGTCATGTATTCACCAGCAGATGGAGTCAGGATGTCTTTCAGAGGGAAGTGTTCTTTGGTATTCAGTTCAGGATGATGACTTTGTCCAGGTATCTGTTGGAAGACAAACACAAGAGGTTAAATACATTCTTTTTCTTTTAAAGTTCATCTTTCTTGGTGTTTTATATCGTCAAAATCTAAAAGCTCATCCAATGCATTCAAGAAGGAAATGGTTGTTGTGTTTGAGTCGAAGTAGGGTGGAACATATCAACAGGCTGTTCAGTCAAACCAGTTTGACATCATTTTCTTTCAGCCGCTGTCACATGACTTTCCTCAAACTTTTATCCTGCCTCACATCTTCATGTTCCTTCCTTCCCCCAAAGATTATTCACTTACAAGACTCACTTATGCACGCACAACTTCTCAGCTACATTGTAGGATTTGATATAAAAAAATATGAACCTGAAATGAGAATAATATGTCCTTTTAAAAATTACAATAAAGAGTCGAGTTTTTTCAACAATTTAAACTGAAATAATTCTAATAATATGATTAGTAAATTAAAATGGGCCTTGTGCTTTCTCCTTCCTTCACGGTCTACAGTTGTGTGGATTTAGAGGACATCATAATGAAGTCACATGATCTATCTGCTAGGGAGGGCGGGACCTTAAATGAGACAGGTGGAAACTAAAGATAATCTCTCTCCATGTGAATTGTTAGGAACCAGAGCTGTTGCTCAGTTTTCATTTGTTTATCGTGTTTTATCGGTCATTAAAAGTCAAAGTGGCTCAAATATGTTCAGTTCATTTTGTGAATATTTCTTCAAAGCATGAGAGCAAACTTCATTTAATGTTTAACATTTATCTCAGTTAATGTAGAAAATCATAATCCTGATATAGTCTAAAGTCTATCAACTCGAGTGTATGTGTTTTTCTTCCTGACACTTTCTCACTCTCATTTATTCATGTGATCATATCTTCACCCTCTCCTTGGTATCAAGGATCACACCACATGAGTTCATTTCAATACTTTCTGGATTCCTTTTTAGAGACAAACCCCTGCAAAATAAATAATGATCTAGTTGTTTTTTAAAACATCAACGCATGTTCAGTTAATGTCTAACATATATTTAGAATGTATAAATAGGAGAGTAACAGGTTTTTAAAAAAACAGGGTTTTCAGGAAATGAAAGTTAATTGTATTTAGCCTCATATTCTTTTTAAAAAGTACAGATTTCTCATTATCTTAGTTTAATTGATTAACTTCCATCCTGCTGGAAATCATATTGTTTATTTCAATTCAAATCTGTTGATGTAGTTAAAAGAAACATAAAGATATGTTCAGGACTCAGCAACTCACAGTCTCTCCACTTCTTTTCTTTATTCTCTCCAAGTGTGTGTTTCCCAGCAGAGATCTCACCTCCTCTGATGGCGTCTCCAACAATCTCTAAATCTTCTTTGGTTCCCTCCTTTATCCAGTCTCTGGTTTCCTCTCACCTCCGTCACAGGATGAATGATCAACAGCAGGAATTATGTCATGTATTCACCAGCAGATGGAGTCAGGATGTCTTTCAGAGGGAAGTGTTCTTTGGTATTCAGTTCAGGATGATGACTTTGTCCAGGTATCTGTTGGAAGACAAACACAAGAGGTTAAATACTTTCTTTTTCTTTTAAAGCTCATCTTTCTTGGTGTTTTATATCGTCAAAATCTAAAAGCTCATCAAATGCATTCAAGAAGGAAATGGTTGTTGTGTTTGAGTCGAAGTAGGGTGGAACATATCAACAGGCTGTTCAGTCAAACCAGTTTGACATCATTTTCTTTCAGCCGCTGTCACATGACTTTCCTTAAACTTTTATCCTGCCTCACATCTTCATGTTCCTTTCAAATAAAATCTACTGATATTGTTAAAGAAATACATTATTAATAAACACAAGTTATTATTAAAGATATCAAGAAATAAAACAGATGTGTCCATATATTATAAGGTATCCATTCATCATGATCTAACATATCCTTGAAATCATAGATGTGTAATCTTGCTTTATTCCTGGATGACATGATGTTTAAATAACTCATGTATTTAACATTAGGAACAAACATGGAGACACTTTTCAACCTGACACCAACTCACCTCACCTGATGTGACCTTATCCAGTTATTTGAAGGGACAGAGGAAACTAGCAGTCACTCTCACACTCTGCCCTCTGGTGGATGATTCATGAAGAGCAGCTTAAACAGACCAACAGGTCCAGCCATCTTTAATCTCCTCTCACATTGAACTACTTTAACAGTGAACTCTTTTGCATCAGCAGCAGAACATGAACAGGAAACATGAAACCCTCCTGATGAAACCTGTCTCCACTGAACCTCCTCCTTGTTTCATGGTTCCAGCTTCACCTCAGGATGATCCAGGTGAGACCGCTGACACCGGCTGCTCCGCTCTCCTGGGTCAAACCACTGGGTCAACATGAAGATCTTCACCCAGCAGCTCCACTCCAGAGGTCACAATCTCCCAGAGATCCAGACCTAAACCAGCTGCTACATCAACGCAGAGTCCCATCACTACAATCCCCCTCCACCGTGTTACTGGAACTGATGCAAACAACATGAAGTATTTCACAACCAGAATGCTGCAGCTGCGTCAGAGCGTACACTTCAACTTCATATTTCAAAGATGGAGAGGAGTTGGACTTCGCAGTTCCCCATCACCATCGTATATGTTCCTTTACCAGACCATGCACTGACTGACATGAGTTAAGGTGACATTTTGTTTTTGCATTGATATTACCAGTGGTGTAAAGTAACTAAGTACATTTACTCAAGTACTGTACAAAGCTAAATTCACAAACTACACTAAAGTAAATACAAATTACTTCATGCAAGGATAAACATATTTTTGCATTAAAAATTATATTCAAAATATGTTATATATATTACTCCCGAAATAGGCCAATGTGCATAATAAGTACTTTTGCTTTTGCTACTTTAAGTATAATTTGATGAGAATACTTGTCTACTTTTACTTGAGGAACATTTGTAATGCAGGACTTTTACTGTAACATAGTATTCCTACACTCTGGTACTTCTACTTACTTCTTTTTCTACAACTGGATCATTTGGGTTTGAAGTGAATGAAGACAAATGATCAAAGTGAATAAATAATGCATTACTGTTTTTAATGTTGAAGCTACTTTGTATTTGTTATAATGCTGCAGTGGAGTTGGAGAATGTGAATGTGACTCCTGACAGTTTCTAAGAGAGAATCAAAACAACTCCATCAAATCAAACACGTGGCACAGCTCCAGTATGCCATGCTTTACCCCTCACATGTTTTCTGCTGAGTCTCCTTCATCAGGGTGGGAGCTTCTTTGTTTACAGCAGGTTCATCCGTCACATGACTTCACACAAGGAGACAGAGATTTCAGGAGTTTGGCATCTATGAATGTAAAGGTTAAAACAGATGTTTGAAGGGATGCAATGAATTAAAGAAGAGATTACATCATTAAGATATTCAGATTATTTATTTACAGAAACAGAAATCAACCTTATAGACACATTTCTGAATTAAACTGCTGGTTATTTAATCACAAGATATCTGAAGCAGCATCAAAAATACTACACTTAATTATACAGCTGTTATTCCCTCTAGGTTAATTAGAAATTGATATTTTCAATTACCATAAATATTATTGTCCATCTATATAGGACTGAAAATGTTACATAGGCTAACGAAAGAACATTGTAAGAATGAAATAATTAATTAAAATAAATGTATTAAATGACTTGCTCCCTGCAGAAAAACAACACATCTAAAAATAATTCATCAAAAGACCCAAAAATATAAAAAAGTTAAACCCTAACCCTAACCCACACTGTAATAAAGTATGATACAAAATAAACTATAGCAATAAACAATCAAGTTGTTTTGTTTGTTTTTGACTGACTCTTTGATTATAATGTGTAAAAATGTCATGCAAAGATTAATATCTCATCATCTGTTGATTCTTTTCTTGATTGTTCCAAAGAGATGTAGACGGACAGTGAAGTCAGAATAAAGTCTGAACCAACACTCCTGAGCATCACAGAGGAATCTCACTCTGACAGATTTTGATATCAGCAGTTTTAGCATCACCAGCTTTTCCAATATGAAAATATGGGAAGAGTTTCTCAGTGAAAGTGTCTCTGAGAGTGCAGATGGGAGTCATGTGTTCAGGGTCGTAGAAGGACACCTCCCCCCTCTCATAGTCCAGCTGGACTCTGATCCTCTGGAGATTCTTCTCCACTCTGACAGCCTCACCAGCACCACTAGTGTATTTTCCATCGTCATGCCATAAACACCAGATTCCATCTTCTGGTGAGGAAAATCTCACTCCCTTCCTGTCAACTGACTCTTTAGTCAAACCTATAAGCCAGAAAGGAAGATCTCCCACCTCCACCTCCCAGCTGTGTTTCCCTGAGCTGAAGCCCTCAGAGCCCAGAACTTCAGCATACTTAGTGCATCTCTCTGGATTATCAGGAAGCTGCTGATCTGTGTCTCCAAATCTCACACTGGTCAGATCATCAGACAGATAGAGCCGGCTGTGTGCAGTGTTTGGGTCCAGAAGGACAGGACTGAAGTGGACCTGGTCCTTCATCTTCTCCCAGACTCTGAAGGACAGGTTGCCCAGGTGTTTGGCCACATCTGTCAGCGCTCCTGAGAGCAGCTGTGGGTCTGACAGTGAGCTCTGGACTCTGGCTCTGCTCTGAGTGGCTTTATAACTGCTGAGGAAGGGCACGTTGTGTTTCTGCAGCTCTTCTTCAACAGCAGAGATACTGTGTGACAGAGAGGAGATGTGCTCCTGAATGCTCTTCATCTCTCTGCTGATAGTCTTCCCTTTCTGCTCCTCTTCCTCCCTCAGAGCTGCCAGTCTGGACTCCTCTTCCTCTTTCAGGAACTGATGGAGCTTGATGAACTCTGCTCTGATCTGCCTCTCTGTGGACAGCAGCTGCTTCTTGGACACTTGAATCACTTTATTGTATGTCGTCTCCACTCCTTTGTATTTGTCCCTCTTGTCCTGCAGAGACTCTAAGTCAGATTTCAGCAGGTCCTTCAGCTCACTGACTGCTTGTTCTACAGGAACCACCTTGTGACTCTGGTGGAGAGAAAACTCACAGAAAGGACACACAGCTCTCTCTTCATCCATACAGAACAATCTAGGCTCTTCTGGATGTTTACTACACACCACCTCCACCTTCTTCTCTCCTTTTTCTGCCTCAGCCATTTGGTATTAAAGTTATTTCTACAGAGCAGGACTCACCAACTTCTCTTCTTTATTCACTCCAAATAAGTGTTTTCCAACAGAGATCTCACCTCCTCTGATGGCTACCCAGTTCAACAATCTCTAAATCTTCTTTGGTTCCCTCCTTTATCCAGTCTCTGGTTTCCTCTCACCTCCGTCACAGGATGAATGATCAACAGCAGGAATGCAGTTATGTCATGTATTCACCAGCAGATGGAGTCAGGATGTCTTTCAGAGGGAAGTGTTCTTTGGTATTCAGTTCAGGATGATGACTTTGTCCAGGTATCTGTTGAAGACAAACACAAGAGGTTAAATACTTTCTTTTTCTTTTAAAGTTCATCTTTCTTGGTGTTTTATATCGTCAAAATCTAAAAGCTCATCCAATGCATTCAAGAAGGAAATGGTTGTTGTGTTTGAGTCGAAGTAGGGTGGAACATATCAACAGGCTGTTCAGTCAAACCAGTTTGACATCATTTTCTTTCAGCCGCTGTCACATGACTTTCCTCAAACTTTTATCCTGCCTCACATCTTCATGTTCCTTCCTTCCCCCAAAGATGATTCACTTACAAGACTCACTTATGCACGCACAACTTCTCAGCTACATTGTAGGATTTGATATAAAAAAATATGAACCTGAAATGAGAATAATATGTCCTTTTAAAAATTACAATAAAGAGTCGAGTTTTTTCAACAATTTAAACTGAAATAATTCTAATAATATGATTAGTAAATTAAAATGGGCCTTGTGCTTTCTCCTTCCTTCACGGTCTACAGTTGTGTGGATTTAGAGGACATCATAATGAAGTCACATGATCTATCTGCTAGGGAGGGCGGGACCTTAAATGAGACAGGTGGAAACTAAAGATGATCTCTCTCCATGTGAATTGTTAGGAACCAGAGCTGTTGCTCAGTTTTCATTTGTTTATCGTGTTTTATCGGTCATTAAAAGTCAAAGTGGCTCAAATATGTTCAGTTCATTTTGTGAATATTTCTTCAAAGCATGAGAGCAAACTTCATTTAATGTTTAACATTTATCTCAGTTAATGTAGAAATCATAATCCTGATATAGTCTAAAGTCTATCAACTCGAGTGTATGTGTTTTTTCTTCCTGACACTTTCTCACTCTCATTTATTCATGTGATCATATCTTCACCCTCTCCTTGGTATCAAGGATCACACCACATGAGTTCATTTCAATACTTTCTGGATTTCCTTTTTAGAGACAAACCCCTGCAAAATAAATAATGATCTAGTTGTTTTTTAAACATCAACGCATGTTCAGTTAATGTCTAACATATATTTAGAATGTATAAATAGGAGAGTAACAGGTTTTTAAAAAACAGGGTTTTCAGGAAATGAAAGTTAATTGTATTTAGCCTCATATTCTTTTTAAAAAGTACAGATTTCTCATTATCTTAGTTTAATTGATTAACTTCCATCCTGCTGGAAATCATATTGTTTATTTCAATTCAAATCTGTTGATGTAGTTAAAAGAAACATAAAGATATGTTCAGGACTCAGCAACTCACAGTCTCTTCCACTTCTTTTCTTTATTCTCTCCAAGTGTGTGTTTCCCAGCAGAGATCTCACCGTCCTCTGATGGCGTCTCCAACAATGTCTAAATCTTCTTTGGTTCCCTCCTTTATCCAGTCTCTGGTTTCCTCTCACCTCCGTCACAGGATGAATGATCAACAGCAGGAATGCAGTTATGTCATGTATTCACCAGCAGATGGAGTCAGGATGTCTTTCAGAGGGAAGTGTTCTTTGGTATTCAGTTCAGGATGATGACTTTGTCCAGGTATCTGTTGGAAGACAAACACAAGAGGTTAAATACATTCTTTTTCTTTTAAAGCTCATCTTTCTTGGTGTTTTATATCGTCAAAATCTAAAAGCTCATCCAATGCATTCAAGAAGGAAATGGTTGTTGTATTTGAGTCGAAGTAGGGTGGAACATATCAACAGGCTGTTCAGTCAAACCAGTTTGACATCATTTTCTTTCAGCCGCTGTCACATGACTTTCCTCAAACTTTTATCCTGCCTCACATCTTCATGTTCCTTCCTTCCCCCAAAGATTATTCACTTACAAGACTCACTTATGCACGCACAACTTCTCAGCTACATTGTAGGATTTGATATAAAAAAATATGAACCTGAAATGAGAATAATATGTCCGTTTAAAAATTACAATAAAGAGTCGAGTTTTTTCAACAATTTAAACTGAAATAATTCTAATAATATGATTAGTAAATTAAAATGGGCCTTGTGCTTTCTCCTTCCTTCACGGTCTACAGTTGTGTGGATTTAGAGGACATCATAATGAAGTCACATGATCTATCTGCTAGGGAGGGCGGGACCTTAAATGAGACAGGTGGAAACTAAAGATAATCTCTCTCCATGTGAATTGTTAGGAACCAGAGCTGTTGCTCAGTTTTCATTTGTTTATCGTGTTTTATCGGTCATTAAAAGTCAAAGTGGCTCAAATATGTTCAGTTCATTTTGTGAATATTTCTTCAAAGCATGAGAGCAAACTTCATTTAATGTTTAACATTTATCTCAGTTAATGTAGAAATCATAATCCTGATATAGTCTAAAGTCTATCAACTCGAGTGTATGTGTTTTTCTTCCTGACACTTTCTCACTCTCATTTATTCATGTGATCATATCTTCACCCTCTCCTTGGTATCAAGGATCACACCACATGAGTTCATTTCAATACTTTCTGGATTTCCTTTTTAGAGACAAACCCCTGCAAAATAAATAATGATCTAGTTGTTTTTGAAACATCAACGCATGTTCAGTTAATGTCTAACATATATTTAGAATGTATAAATAGGAGAGTAACAGGTTTTTAAAAAACAGGGTTTTCAGGAAATGAAAGTTAATTGTATTTAGCCTCATATTCTTTTTAAAAAGTACAGATTTCTCATTATCTTAGTTTAATTGATTAACTTCCATCCTGCTGGAAATCATATTGTTTATTTCAATTCAAATCTGTTGATGTAGTTAAAAGAAACATAAAGATATGTTCAGGACTCAGCAACTCACAGTCTCTCCACTTCTTTTCTTTATTCTCTCCAAGTGTGTGTTTCCCAGCAGAGATCTCACCTCCTCTGATGGCGTCTCCAACAATGTCTAAATCTTCTTTGGTTCCCTCCTTTATCCAGTCTCTGGTTTCCTCTCACCTCCGTCACAGGATGAATGATCAACAGCAGGAATTATGTCATGTATTCACCAGCAGATGGAGTCAGGATGTCTTTCAGAGGGAAGTGTTCTTTGGTATTCAGTTCAGGATGATGACTTTGTCCAGGTATCTGTTGAAGAAAAACACAAGAGGTTAAATACATTCTTTTTCTTTTAAAGCTCATCTTTCTTGGTGTTTTATATCGTCAAAATCTAAAAGCTCATCAAATGCATTCAAGAAGGAAATGGTTGTTGTATTTGAGTCGAAGTAGGGTGGAACATATCAACAGGCTGTTCAGTCAAACCAGTTTGACATCATTTTCTTTCAGCCGCTGTCACATGACTTTCCTCAAACTTTTATCCTGCCTCACATCTTCATGTTCCTTCCTTCCCCCAAAGATTATTCACTTACAAGACTCACTTATGCACGCACAACTTCTCAGCTACATTGTAGGATTTGATATAAAAAATATGAACCTGAAATGAGAATAATATGTCCTTTTGAAAATGACAATAAAGAGTCGAGTTTTTTCAACAATTTAAACTGAAATAATTCTAATAATATGATTAGTAAATTAAATGGGCCTTGTGCTTTCTCCTTCCTTCACGGTCTACAGTTGTGTGGATTTAGAGGACATCATAATGAAGTCACATGATCTATCTGCTAGGGAGGGCGGGAACCTTAAATGAGACAGGTGGAAACTAAAGATGATCTCTCTCCATGTGAATTGTTAGGAACCAGAGCTGTTGCTCAGTTTTCATTTGTTTATCGTGTTTTATCGGTCATTAAAAGTCAAAGTGGCTCAAATATGTTCAGTTCATTTTGTGAATATTTCTTCAAAGCATGAGAGCAAACTTCATTTAATGTTTAACATTTATCTCAGTTAATGTAGAAATCATAATCCTGATATAGTCTAAAGTCTATCAACTCGAGTGTATGTGTTTTTCTTCCTGACACTTTCTCACTCTCATTTATTCATGTGATCATATCTTCACCCTCTCCTTGGTATCAAGGATCACACCACATGAGTTCATTTCAATACTTTCTGGATTTCCTTTTTAGAGACAAACCCCTGCAAAATAAATAATGATCTAGTTGTTTTTGAAACATCAACGCATGTTCAGTTAATGTCTAACATATATTTAGAATGTATAAATAGGAGAGTAACAGGTTTTTAAAAAACAGGGTTTTCAGGAAATGAAAGTTAATTGTATTTAGCCTCAATCTATTTAAAGAAAATACAGATTTCTCATTATCTTAGTTTAATTGATTAACTTCCATCCTGCTGGAAATCATATTGTTCATTTCAATTCAAATCTGTTGATGTAGTTAAAAGAAACATAAAGATATGTTCAGCACTCAGCCACTCACAGTCTCTCCACTTCTTTTCTTTATTCTCTCCAAGTGTGTGTTTCCCAGCAGAGATCTCACCTCCTCTGATGGCGTCTCCAACAATCTCTAAATCTTCTTTGGTTCCCTCCTTTATCCAGTCTCTGGTTTCCTCTCACCTCCGTCACAGGATGAATGATCAACAGCAGGAATGCAGTTATGTCATGTATTCACCAGCAGATGGAGTCAGGATGTCTTTCAGAGGGAAGTGTTCTTTGGTATTCAGTTCAGGATGATGACTTTGTCCAGGTATCTGTTGGAAGACAAACACAAGAGGTTAAATACATTCTTTTTCTTTTAAAGCTCATCTTTCTTGGTGTTTTATATCGTCAAAATCTAAAAGCTCATCCAATGCATTCAAGAAGGAAATGGTTGTTGTATTTGAGTCGAAGTAGGGTGGAACATATCAACAGGCTGTTCAGTCAAACCAGTTTGACATCATTTTCTTTCAGCCGCTGTCACATGACTTTCCTCAAACTTTTATCCTGCCTCACATCTTCATGTTCCTTCCTTCCCCCAAAGATTATTCACTTACAAGACTCACTTATGCACGCACAACTTCTCAGCTACATTGTAGGATTTGATATAAAAAAATATGAACCTGAAATGAGAATAATATGTCCGTTTAAAAATTACAATAAAGAGTCGAGTTTTTTCAACAATTTAAACTGAAATAATTCTAATAATATGATTAGTAAATTAAAATGGGCCTTGTGCTTTCTCCTTCCTTCACGGTCTACAGTTGTGTGGATTTAGAGGACATCATAATGAAGTCACATGATCTATCTGCTAGGGAGGGCGGGACCTTAAATGAGACAGGTGGAAACTAAAGATAATCTCTCTCCATGTGAATTGTTAGGAACCAGAGCTGTTGCTCAGTTTTCATTTGTTTATCGTGTTTTATCGGTCATTAAAAGTCAAAGTGGCTCAAATATGTTCAGTTCATTTTGTGAATATTTCTTCAAAGCATGAGAGCAAACTTCATTTAATGTTTAACATTTATCTCAGTTAATGTAGAAATCATAATCCTGATATAGTCTAAAGTCTATCAACTCGAGTGTATGTGTTTTTCTTCCTGACACTTTCTCACTCTCATTTATTCATGTGATCATATCTTCACCCTCTCCTTGGTATCAAGGATCACACCACATGAGTTCATTTCAATACTTTCTGGATTTCCTTTTTAGAGACAAACCCCTGCAAAATAAATAATGATCTAGTTGTTTTTGAAACAACAACGCATGTTCAGTTAATGTCTAACATATATTTAGAATGTATAAATAGGAGAGTAACAGGTTTTTAAAAAACAGGGTTTTCAGGAAATGAAAGTTAATTGTATTTAGCCTCATATTCTTTTTAAAAAGTACAGATTTCTCATTATCTTAGTTTAATTGATTAACTTCCATCCTGCTGGAAATCATATTGTTTATTTCAATTCAAATCTGTTGATGTAGTTAAAAGAAACATAAAGATATGTTCAGGACTCAGCAACTCACAGTCTCTCCACTTCTTTTCTTTATTCTCTCCAAGTGTGTGTTTCCCAGCAGAGATCTCACCTCCTCTGATGGCGTCTCCAACAATGTCTAAATCTTCTTTGGTTCCCTCCTTTATCCAGTCTCTGGTTTCCTCTCACCTCCGTCACAGGATGAATGATCAACAGCAGGAATGCAGTTATGTCATGTATTCACCAGCAGATGGAGTCAGGATGTCTTTCAGAGGGAAGTGTTCTTTGGTATTCAGTTCAGGATGATGACTTTGTCCAGGTATCTGTTGAAGAAAAACACAAGAGGTTAAATACATTCTTTTTCTTTTAAAGCTCATCTTTCTTGGTGTTTTATATCGTCAAAATCTAAAAGCTCATCAAATGCATTCAAGAAGGAAATGGTTGTTGTATTTGAGTCGAAGTAGGGTGGAACATATCAACAGGCTGTTCAGTCAAACCAGTTTGACATCATTTTCTTTCAGCCGCTGTCACATGACTTTCCTCAAACTTTTATCCTGCCTCACATCTTCATGTTCCTTCCTTCCCCCAAAGATTATTCACTTACAAGACTCACTTATGCACGCACAACTTCTCAGCTACATTGTAGGATTTGATATAAAAAAATATGAACCTGAAATGAGAATAATATGTCCTTTTGAAAATGACAATAAAGAGTCGAGTTTTTTCAACAATTTAAACTGAAATAATTCTAATAATATGATTAGTAAATTAAAATGGGCCTTGTGCTTTCTCCTTCCTTCACAGTCTACAGTTGTGTGGATTTAGAGGACATCATAATGAAGTCACATGATCTATCTGCTAGGGAGGGCGGGACCTTAAATGAGACAGGTGGAAACTAAAGATAATCTCTCTCCATGTGAATTGTTAGGAACCAGAGCTGTTGCTCAGTTTTCATTTGTTTATCGTGTTTTATCGGTCATTAAAAGTCAAAGTGGCTCAAATATGTTCAGTTCATTTTGTGAATATTTCTTCAAAGCATGAGAGCAAACTTCATTTAATGTTTAACATTTATCTCAGTTAATGTAGAAATCATAATCCTGATATAGTCTAAAGTCTATCAACTCGAGTGCATGTGTTTTTCTTCCTGACACTTTCTCACTCTCATTTATTCATGTGATCATATCTTCACCCTCTCCTTGGTATCAAGGATCACACCACATGAGTTCATTTCAATACTTTCTGGATTTCCTTTTTAGAGACAAACCCCTGCAAAATAAATAATGATCTAGTTGTTTTTGAAACATCAACGCATGTTCAGTTAATGTCTAACATATATTTAGAATGTATAAATAGGAGAGTAACAGGTTTTTAAAAAACAGGGTTTTCAGGAAATGAAAGTTAATTGTATTTAGCCTCAATCTATTTAAAGAAAATACAGATTTCTCATTATCTTAGTTTAATTGATTAACTTCCATCCTGCTGGAAATCATATTGTTCATTTCAATTCAAATCTGTTGATGTAGTTAAAAGAAACATAAAGATATGTTCAGGACTCAGCAACTCACAGTCTCTCCACTTCTTTTCTTTATTCTCTCCAAGTGTGTGTTTCCCAGCAGAGATCTCACCTCCTCTGATGGCGTCTCCAACAATGTCTAAATCTTCTTTGGTTCCCTCCTTTATCCAGTCTCTGGTTTCCTCTCACCTCCGTCACAGGATGAATGATCAACAGCAGGAATGCAGTTATGTCATGTATTCACCAGCAGATGGAGTCAGGATGTCTTTCAGAGGGAAGTGTTCTTTGGTATTCAGTTCAGGATGATGACTTTGTCCAGGTATCTGTTGGAGAAAAACACAAGAGGTTAAATACATTCTTTTTCTTTTAAAGCTCATCTTTCTTGGTGTTTTATATCGTCAAAATCTAAAAGCTCATCAAATGCATTCAAGAAGGAAATGGTTGTTGTGTTTGAGTCGAAGTAGGGTGGAACATATCAACAGGCTGTTCAGTCAAACCAGTTTGACATCATTTTCTTTCAGCCGCTGTCACATGACTTTCCTTAAACTTTTATCCTGCCTCACATCTTCATGTTCCTTTCAAATAAAATCTACTGATATTGTTAAAGAAATACATTATTAATAAACACAAGTTATTATTAAAGATATCAAGAAATAAAACAGATGTGTCCATATATTATAAAGGTATCCATTCATCATGATCTAACATATCCTTGAAATCATAGATGTGTAATCTTGCTTTATTCCTGGATGACATGATGTTTAAATAACTCATGTATTTAACATTAGGAACAAACATGGAGATACTTTTCAACCTGACACCAACTCACCTCACCTGATGTGACCTTATCCAGTTATTTGAAGGGACAGAGGAAACTAGCAGTCACTCTCACACTCTGCCCTCTGGTGGATGATTCATGAAGAGCAGCTTAAACAGACCAACAGGTCCAGCCATCTTTAATCTCCTCTCACATTGAACTACTTTAACAGTGAACTCTTTTGCATCAGCAGCAGAACATCAACAGGAAACATGAAACCCTCCTGATGAAACCTGTCTCCACTGAACCTCCTCCTTGTTTCATGGTTCCAGCTTCACCTCAGGATGATCCAGGTGAGACCGCTGACACCGGCTGCTCCGCTCTCCTGGGTCAAACCACTGGGTCAACATGAAGATCTTCACCCAGCAGCTCCACTCCAGAGGTCACAATCTCCCAGAGATCCAGACCGAAACCAGCTGCTACATCAACGCAGAGTCCCATCACTACAATCCCCCTCCACCGTGTTACTGGAACTGATGCAAACAACATGAAGTATTTCACAACCAGAATGCTGCAGCTGCGTCAGAGCGTACACTTCAACTTCATATTTCAAAGATGGAGAGGAGTTGGACTTCGCAGTTCCCCATCACCATCGTATATGTTCCTTTACCAGACCATGCACTGACTAATGACATGAGTTAAGGTGACATTTTGTTTTTGCATTGATATTACCAGTGGTGTAAAGTAACTAAGTAAATTTACTCAAGTACTGTACAAAGCTAAATTCACAAACTACACTAAAGTAAATACAAATTACTTCATGCAAGGATAAACATATTTTTGCATTAAAAATTATATTCAAAATATGTTATATATATTACTCCCGAAATAGGCCAATGTGCATAATAAGTACTTTTGCTTTTGCTACTTTAAGTATAATTTGATGAGAATACTTGTCTACTTTTACTTGAGGAACATTTGTAACGCAGGACTTTTACTGTAACATAGTATTCCTACACTCTGGTACTTCTACTTACTTCTTTTTCTACAACTGGATCATTTGGGTTTGAAGTGAATGAAGACAAATGATCAAAGTGAATAAATAATGCATTACTGTTTTTAATGTTGAAGCTACTTTGTATTTGTTATAATGCTGCAGTGGAGTTGGAGAATGTGAATGTGACTCCTGACAGTTTCTAAGAGAGAATCAAAACAACTCCATCAAATCAAACACGTGGCACAGCTCCAGTATGCCATGCTTTACCCCTCACATGTTTTCTGCTGAGTCTCCTTCATCAGGGTGGGAGCTTCTTTGTTTACAGCAGGTTCATCCGTCACATGACTTCACACAAGGAGACAGAGATTTCAGGAGTTTGGCATCTATGAATGTAAAGGTTAAAACATATGTTTGAAGGGATGCAATGCATTAAAGAAGAGATTACATCATTAAGATGTTCAGATTATTTATTTACAGAAACAGAAATCAACCTCATAGACACATTTCTGAATTAAACTGCTGGTTATTTAATCACAAGATATCTGAAGCAGCATTACAAATACTACACTTAATTATACAGCTGTTATTCCCTCTAGGTTAATTAGAAATTGATATTTTCAATTACCATAAATATTATTGTCCATCTATATAGGACTGAAAATGTCACATACAGTAGGCTAACAAAAGAACATTGTAAGAATGAAATAATTAATTAAACTAAATGTATTAAATGACTTGCTCCCTGCAGAAAAACAACATATCTAAAAATAATTCATCAAAAGACCCAAAAATATAAAATAGTTAAACTGATAACTTATCCTGCTATAACATGATGTTTGACTAGAAACTAGATGTTGATAAAAGGAGAACTGACAGCTTTGATTTGTTAGTTTGGTTGATTTCATGACGTTTCAGCACGATATACAAACTTCTTACATTTCTTCAAGAATTCACACAAAACTTAATCAAACTTTCTCATTTCATCCATTACAAAGAAAAACAGAAAATAAATTCATTCTTTTAAAGATTTTTGGATTCAAAATGTGAACATTCATCAATCATGCCTCAATATATTTTAAAATGATTTTCCGATTTTAATAAAGTGTCAGTGAGTTAAATGAAAACTATAAACACACTGTAATAAAGTATGATACAAAATAAACTATAGCAATAAACAATCAAGTTGTTTTGTTTGTTTTTGTTTTTCACTGACTCTTTGATTATAATGTGTAAAAATGTCATGCAAAGATTAATATCTCATTATCTGTTGATTCTTTTCTTGATTGTTCCAAAGAGATGTAGACGGACAGTGAAGTCAGAATAAAGTCTGAACCAACACTCCTGAGCATCACAGAGGAATCTCACTCTGACAGATTTTGATATCAGCAGTTTTAGCATCACCAGCTTTTCCAATATAAAAATATGGGAAGAGTTTCTCAGTGAAAGTGTCTGTGAGAGTGCAGATGGGAGTCATGTGTTCAGGGTCGTAGAAGGTTGTTTTAATTACAACTCCACATCCCGCTTGCTGACGTCTGGGGAACCAGTTAATTTAAAATCCTCATTATTTTACTTTGAATTAGTTCCCCCCTCTTTTGTTTCCTTGCGCCATATGGCAATGTTCCGTGGTCAAATCAACTTAATTGAGCTAATTAAGTTGATCAGTTTAATTATTCAAAGAACTCTGATTGGATGAAATTACTACCCCATCCCCCCTTTCTCACCCAATCAAAATCCCTGTTTAAACTCCCATACCCATTTCATATCATAGTGACTAGAGGGGGGTGTAGCTAAGATCTTTTATTGAATGTTACATCAAAGGTGGGATAAGTACTCAGATCTTGTACTTAAGTAAAGGTAGAAAGTGTGGTAGTACTCTGATGTAAAAGTGTTTTTCACCATAGTGACAAACAGCAAAAAGTATTTTTTCCCCCCAGTTGATTTTAAGTCTAGTACCTTGTATTTTACATTTATATATTTTAACTTTACATTAAAATAATGGAAACAGATGGAAGACGATAACGTTAACATAAATAATAGTGTTACCGCCGCATTCTCCTTCGCCTGCTTCAGTTCTCTCTTCGCACACACCAGCTGAATGAAAAGGGAACAGTTGATTTTTCAGAAACACAAACTCAACATATGAATAATATATTACGATGTTGTGATTTGAAATTATCTTTGAGTACTTGCTCACCTCAGACACGAGGAGCCCAATGGCACACTTGGCACCCGCTAGCGTAGTGATGCCATCAATCGGCTCTTCTGTTTGCTAAAGGCCGGCTATCACGGCATTCCTGTGAAGAGAGGAATCACTCTGAGCCATCGCTGCAATAAGCTCCATAATCAATTCATTGTTTCCTCTTATTCATTTTAGCGCTGGTCTTGACTGAAGAAATTCTTAGTCAACAAAATCAACTAATCTACTCCTTTTTTTTAAGAATGATGCTGTGCTAACGTATTTTGAAAAGAAATCCTTTAGCATAGCATAACAAATGACCAATAAAAAAAGTGACTGACCAGTCGTCTAAAAATCTAGTCACAAAATCTGTATAGGACTGACTGGAAATAAAAGCACAGCTTTTTATTGGGCATCATTTAATGTTGTGTGAATGACAATTGATAGGCAGGTTATTCAAGCTAGTGTAAGGCAGAGTAGGATGAATGCTGGTCTTAACATGTTTGGAATATGTGAAATGCAGTGAGTGCAGGTTGTCAGACTCACCTGCGGTCCATCTCCGTTTCTCCAACAGTTGGTTCAGCGGCATGAAGGTGATGGTCCGCTGCATGGAAGGACATTGCAAAACAAGACATTGATTCTTTGTAACATTTACAGTTTACTTTGATATGCAATGGATTCAGTTAAGTAGATTACTCAGTTTTGTGGATTCTTTTAATGAGTATGCAGCCTGTAAAATGAAACACTGGCGTGACGATTTCTCGCAAAAGCCAATCAGCCGTGAGAATCTCAGCCTGTTGTCAATGACGTTTTAGAATCAGAAAACCAAAAAAACACCAGCCATTGGCTCGGGCGACATCACACAGAGTTCCATATATATGTTGGGAAACTGGACAAAAATAAGTGTTTGTATAAAAAGTACAAACTATGGACTGTCTATTGTAGGGGTCTCCAACACTCGATCAACTCGGCGGCCGATCGGAGCATCCCTAGATACAACGGTAGCTTAGTCTAGCCAGATCGATTCGATCTCCAATCAGAAACCTGTTTTTTGTCTGCAGTCTTTTAAGAACACTTAATTCATGGTTTTTACTAACCGGTAACAGTATGTAGTATTATTTTGATTTGTATTATCTAAAGCCAGTTGAGTAGCAATTGAAATGTTTTGGCTCTATGAAACCTGATGTACTTATATGATTCTGTTTTCTTCAAGTTTGTATCTTCTTGGTCGAATGCACTTATTGTAAGTCGCTTTGGATAAAAGCCTCAGCTAAAAGTAATGTAATGTGTATTACAAATAAATTATGGCAAAATGTGTTAATGTTGTTGTTGGCATCTACATGGAGATAAGCCTCACCTCCTCGCTAGCATGATTAGTTTGAGTGAAGCAAGTACAGCAGGCACGTGCACACAGACATCAAAGTGGGCTTGAGCCCCTGCCCTTTTTCTTCCTCCAGAGAAAGTGCCCTTTTGTCCCCCTTTTTTTATTTTTTATAAATGAATATATATCTACTGCTGTTTGCGCACAGTTTCCCTTTCCAAAAATATATTGATTGAATACAACATTTAAATATCAGGTCGGGAGATTAGACTGTGAAGCTCCGATGCTCTCTCTACCCTCCCTCCACGTCTCCTGCACAGCGGTGCGGACATCGGCAGTCACTTCAGACAGACAGGTAGCAGCACCTCCCACTTTACTGTCCCTTCAGACAGACAGGTAGCAGCACCTCTCACTTTACTGTCCCTTCAGACAGACAGGTAGCAGCACCTCCCACTTTACTGTCCCTTCAGACAGACAGGTAGCAGCACCTCCCACTTTACTGTCCCTTCAGACAGACAGGTAGCAGCACCTCCCACTTTACTGTCCCTTCAGACAGACAGGTAGCAGCACCTCTCACTTTACTGTGCCTTCAGACAGACAGGTAGCAGCACCTCCCACTTTACTGTGCCTTCAGACAGACAGGTAGCAGCACCTCCCACTTTACTGTCCCTTCAGACAGACAGGTAGCAGCACCTCCCACTTTACTGTCCCTTCAGACAGACAGGTAGCAGCACCTCTCACTTTACTGTCCCTTCAGACAGACAGGTAGCAGCACCTCCCACTTTACTGTGCCGGCTTTTCTTGGCTTGTTTGAAGGTGACTGGTGATGAACAAATTACTAAACTGCCAGTGCCTCGAGTTTACAGCTAATTAGCTAAAAGACAAGAACAAATATAGTTAACTAAGGTAGGCTACTAGCTAATGGATAAGTTAGCTCAAGGTTTAGCTAAGACAATTTATCATGGGCATACAGGCTAATGTACTGTACTTAAGGGGAGACAGACACTTAAAGTGAATACAGTAAAATGTGTATCTAATAACGTCATCACAATCACCACATTGATATGCAAATTAGGCGTTAACTAGGCTTAATTAAAATGCGCTAATTTGCATGCAGTTACCAAGGCATTGCAGGTGAAAAGGATAAAACAAATCACCTCACAACTTCCCCAGATAGTTACTCGCATCAAGTCAGTATTTTCCCCTGAAATGTTATGTTTAAATGCAGATTAGCTTTAAATCTATAGATGAATTCAGACATGGTAGTAAAACGAACACCATTTATATGTGTTTCTTGGAAGTTTTATTTCCATTAGAGTGAACGAAAACATGGAAGCAAAATAGACCAAAATAACAAGTACATGAAAAAACTATCTTTTTGCCTGTAATGTCCTTAAACAGTAACTTCATAATTTTGATTGTTGGCTGCTCATTTAATAACTATTCATTGTTTGTTGTCTGCTCTTGTGCGTAGTGAATACTAAAGAAGGCCATTGTCTCTGTGTTAGCTGATTATTTTGTAGAAATCTGTTGAGTATTAAACAATTGCGTGAGTGTGAGGGTATTAAAATAAATTGGTCAGTAAGTCAGAGATGTGCAACTATATTTAACTTTTTGTTTTAAAACACTTTTTTATAAATGATTATGGGAAGTGCCCTTTTTCTCACTTGAGCTCCCTCCCCCCAAAATGTCTGCGCACGTCCCTGAAGTACAGTAAACACAAACGATGCCGTGGTCTAACTCATACGAGTAACGTGGGCTCAGCTTTATGATAGAGAAATAAAGCTCACCCTGATTTTGTCAGGTGGCAGGTGGCCTCCATCTGCCTCCATCCGCTGTTTCACGACGTTGATGGTCTGCCTCAACACCTCTCTGTCATCCAGCAAGGTGTTGAGGTGGGACCGGGCCTCCTTGTAGTTCACCATCCTCTGAACTTCATTGAGCAGCTGATTCTGATCACATAAATAAGGACAATATTTACACACAACAAAGACTTTAGTCCCAAAAATCGGACTTCATACGCAGAACATCTTTAACATATTTGCAGCTTACTCAATCAATGTGAAATTTCAGAGAGGATCATTTTACAAATATTAAATTGATAACACATGGATGGATACATCTCTCAACACCCATATGAAACAGACCTGCAAGCTGATTTTCTTTTTCTTTATGGATATTTTACAAATCACTCCCCTTTCAAACTGTATTCTTGTTATGTTTAACAACTTCTTTGTTACTGTCATATAGTATTTTATACCTGTTTTTCATTTAGTCTCTTATTTTTTTTTAACTATAATGATCATATCAAGGTGTGCCTTAACCTCACTGAGCTGAGGTTATCTGAGCCAGTCTGTCAGGAGAGAGCGCTCTTCCACCTGACCAGGGTTGCGGTTGGATAATCCAAAAATCAGCTCCTAACGTCTAACCCTATCGTCTGTTCCTTAACCTCTGAGTGAAACGTCACGGGGTTACGGGATAGTGGATAGGAGAATTCAAAAGGACTTAGGAGAAGAGACTGCGGTACTTTAGAGAATCCGACTGCACTTTCACTATCCGACGTGTTTATGAATGTGCGTCTGCTGCTGTGGGGGAACTATGGAAACTACAGTTTTCTATACAGCGGACTACAACATGGATGTTTAATAAGAACGAGGGACTACTGTAAACTCATCTAGAGACTCTGCACCGTGCTCTGATGCTGTTTTATGCTTTATGAACGTGGACAACAGAGAAACATATTCTTCATGCAGGCCAAGTAACAGGGTCTGCTGGGGGTGTGGTCAGCCAGGACATTTAGCCAGAGACCGCCCCAAGGCACACCGGGCCCAGGGAAACGACGTGGGGCCTGCATAAAGGGGAAGATGCAGAGATGTTATGTGTTTGTTTGATAGATACGTTTTTTCTTTGCAAAACTAAATGCATTAGTTTGTAGATGGTGTTTTGTATTTGCAAACCACATTGTGTTTGTTAGTGAATCATGTGGCATTTGTAAAAACCTGTTTAGTTTGTGGAGTTATGGCAGGAAATTAGCTCCATAGAAACATTAAACCCACTGCAGCCTTGCACTTCGCCAGGAGAGGTCGCTGTAACTGAAGCTTCGAGAAATGAACCTATTTCCGACACAATTGTCTGACAAGAGGACAAAAGTGTCAAACGTATTGGATCTTCACTGCTATTCGCAGCTCCATCCTCTCGTCCAGCCATGGATGCAGTCACTTCACTCTAAGGAGAAACACAACAACATAGTGCTCGGGGTTTCAAAGGTACAAGCTAGTATTTTATTTAGCATCTGAACAACATGTAAACAGCTTCAAGCCCGGGAACCGGAAGTCCGGCTAACTAATATGTCCGTGCGGAACAATACCCCAACCCGTGGGTGAATAATGTCAATCACCACAATGTAAAGTTAAATGTTTACCTTGTTTTGGTTAATTTTAGCTATGTGTCTTTTTCGGTGTGCACATGTGACTTAATTTCAAATGTACTACACAAGCACGTGCTCACAATGCACAATTATTTACTGTCATTATTTTAAAAGAAAGTTTCACATTTAACTTGGTGCGTTCACACCAGCCGTTTATAGTCCGGTCGAATCGAACCCTGCTACGTTTAGCCGCTTGGTGTGGTTCATTTGGGTCGGTGTGAACACAATCCGAGACCTCTGAAGTGAACTAAACAACCGGATTCTGGTCCACTAACATAGGTGGTCTCGGAACGCTTGCTTGCGAACTCTGGAGCGGTTCATTGCTGGTGTGAACGCAGTCCGCACCAAAACACAGGAAGCGTAGTATTTAGGCTACGTGTTACAAGAACGCGGGTGTCTTCATTTCTTTAGTGAAAGAGTGAAGCAGAATGATGTGTTGAACACAGGTTGAACAGTGTCGTGTAAAGTAAAAACAACCATCAAACTAAAAACCAAAGGAACACCAGGTGGACCAGGATACAAGCTGACAGTAGGCTAATACAAATGAATGTAGTTCAGTGCTAATATAAGATGCACATGAGTAATATTAAGCTGTTGATCAAACATGACAATGTACCTACCATTAAGGTGGCCATGTGGCAACAGGCAGACAGCAAACGAAACAAAGGCTGCCATGATGCCACAGGTGCCTTAAATACCCCTGAGTTAATTAGGGGTTGGCTCTGGGGGAGGAGTTGACCTACTTTAGGTGATGGTGAGTTCAGGGTGTAGAGATGAGTGTGGGACAGTTACCTGAACCCAGTGTTCCTGCTACATCCATAATAGTTGGAGTATACAGTATTTATGTTTAGAGTCACACAAACACAACAGTCTGGAAGAGC